TACATATAAATATTTAGCTTAGTTTTAACTGTCCTTAAATTTGTATGCCAATAATTATACATAAAAAAGCTTTTTTCTTAAATATTTGTCTGTGGAACATGTCATTTTAAATATATTGTAAATACTCAGTTTTAATAAAAAGTTTAATATGAAAAAAAAAAAGAATTTTCCAGTTTGTTGTGATCCACACAGTCAAAGGCTCTAGCATAGTCAATGAAGCAGAAGTAGATATTTTTCTGGAACTCTCTTGCTTTTTTGATGATCCAACAGATGTTGGCAATTTGATCTCTGGTCCCTCTGCCTTTTTTCCCCCTCTGCTTCCTACCTCGTCTGTCTTTTCTAAATCCAGCTTGAACATCTGAAAGCTCACTGTTCATGTACTGCTGAGGGCTAGCTTGAAGGGCTTTGAGCATAACCCTACTAGCTTGTGAAATGAGCATGACTGTATAGTAGTTTGAACTCTCCTCGGCATCGCCCGTCTTTGGGATTGGAATGAAAACTGACATTTTCCAGTCCTGTGGCCACTGATGAGTTTTCCAAATTTGCTGGCACGTTGAGTGATAGCACTTTAACAGCATCATCTTTTAGGATTTGAAATACCTCAGCTGGAATTCGGTCACTTCCGCTAGCATTGTTTGTAGTAATGCTTCCTAGGGCCCACTTGACTTCACACTTCAGGATGTCTGGCTCTAGATGAGTGATCACACCATTGTGGTTATTCAAGTCATTAAGATCTTTATTGTACAGTTCTTCTGTGTATTCCTTTTTTTTGGGCTGTCAAATAATCCTTTATTTTTCTTTTCCCTTTGCAGTTCTCAACTAACTGGTCACTCCACCGCACCATTGTTGATGTCATCTACGATGTCATGAGGGTGGCGGCCATCAACACTGCAGCGCCCAGATGGGGTGCTTCCTGGGATCTTTTTAATGGTTCCAGAGGATTCTCTAGCTAGAGATCAATGCCTCACCTGCTGGGCAATATCGACAATCTCATCAAAAGTGATGTTTCCACTGTGTTTAATGTTTTTCTGTTTCTTTATATTTCTTAGTGGTTCCTTGAGGGCTTTGATGATCAGGGCAGAAGCAGAAGGTACCATCTCAATCCGGGCCTGTCTGTTCTGAATGATCAGTTTCACTGTAATCCTTAGACCTTTCCAATCACCAGTTGCCCTGGCGATGTTATCACATAACTTTTTTGGAGACAGACCCAGAGGGCCAGTCTTGGGGACCGGGGCAGATGTGGCACCAAATTCCCCACTGGTGTACCTCAGGTATGTGACTTTGATCTCATTGGGGTCGAACTTAGGTGGCATGGTGGAGATGGCTGGTGTCGGAAGAACCCGGACTTGGGATGACAAAGTTGCACTTTTGCCTCCTCCGAGCCGAAAGCTCTTCTTGTGTCTTCTTGCCACCTCTCCTTAATCTCTTCTGCTTCTGTTAGGTCCATACATTTTCTGTCCTTTATCGTGCCCATCCTTGCATGAAACGTTCCCTTGATATCTCCAATCTTCTTGAAGAGGTCTCTAGTCCTTCCCACTCTGTTGTTTTCCTCCACTTCTTTGCACTGATCGCTGAAGGCCTTCTCTCTCCCTGCTGTTCTCTGGAGCTCTGCATTCAGTTGGGAATATCCATTTCTCCCTGGCTTTTCAGTGCTCTTCTTTCCTTGGCTATTTGTAAAGCCAAGGACAACCACTTTACCTCCTTGCACTTCTTTTCCTTTGGGATGGTTTTTGTCACTGACTCCTGTAGTGTTACAAACCTCTGTCCATGGTTCTTCAGGCCCTCTGTCCACCAGATCCAATCCCTTGACTCTGTTCATCACTTCCACTCTATAGTCATAAGGGGTTTGATTTAGGTCATACCTGAATGGACTAGTGATTTTCCTTACTTTCTTCAATTTAAGTATGAATTTGGCAATAAAGAGTTCATGATCTGAACCACAGTCAGCTCCAGGTCTTGTTTTTGCTGACTGTATAGAGCTTCTCCATGTTCAGCTGCAAACAATAATCAATCTGATTTCCATTTTGATCATTAGTGATGTCCATGTGTAGAGTCATCTCTTCTGTTGCTGTGAAAGCGTGCTTGCTATGACCAGTGCATTCTCTTGGCAAAACTGTTAGCCTTTGCCCTGCTTCACTCTGTACTCCAAGGTCAAACTTGCCTGTTACTCCAGGTAACTCTTGACTTCCTACTTTCGCTTTCCAGTCCCCTATAATGAAAGGGACATCTTTTTTGGGTGTTAGTTCTAGAAAGTATTGAAGGTCTTCATAAAACTGTTTGACTTCAGCTTCTTCAGCGTTACTGGTCAGGGCATAGACTTGGATTACTGTGATATTGAATGGTTTGCCTTGGAAACAAACAGAGATCATTCTGTTATTTTTGAGATTGCATCCAAGTACTGCATTTCAGACTCTTTTGTTGACTATGAGGGCTACTCCATTTCTTCTAAGGCACTTTTGCCCACAGCAGTAGATGTAATGGCCATCTGAATTAAATTCACCCACTCCAGTCCATGTGAGTTCACTGATTCCTAAGATGATGATGTTCACTCTTGCCATGCCCGCAGTAGATGTAATGGTCATCTGAATTAAATTCACCCACTCCAGTCCATGTTGGTTCACTGACTCCTAAGATGATGATGTTCACTCTTGCCATGCCCGCAGTAGATGTAATGGTCATCTGAATTAAATTCACCCACTCCAGTCCATGTGAGTTCACTGACTCCTAAGATGATGCTGTTCACTCTTGCCATCTCCTGCTTGACCACTTCCAGTTTATCTTGACTCATGGACATAACATTCCAGGTTCCTGTGCAATACTGTTATTTACAGCATCAGACTTTAAGTTTCACTACCAGACACATCCACAACTGAGCGTCGCTTCTGCTTTGGCCCAGCCACTTCAATCCTTCTGGAGCTATTTCTCCACTCTTCTCCAGTAGCATACTGGGCACCTACCAACCTGGGGAGTTCATCTTTCAGTGTCCTATCTTTTCACCTTTTCATATAGTTCATGGGGTTCTCGAGGCAAGAATACTGAAGTGGTTTGCCATTCCCTTCTCCAGTGGACCACGTTTTATCAGAACTCTCCACTGTGACTAGGGGTGACCCTGCACGGCATGGCTCATGGCTACACCGAGTTATGCGAGCCTCTTTGCCTCAACAAGGCTAGGATCCATGAAGGGAGCGCTGAAAATACCAAATCCCAAATCCCTTGTAACTGCACACAGCTTGGAAGATTTGATCCAATCCACAGGATGCTCTTCCCTCCCTCACTAGGGCTTGCAGACACCAACCCACACATCCCCAGGCTCCTGACAGTATAAATGACAAATCCGGCAAACCTTTTGATGTGTAAACCCTCTTTTCCCAAATTAGGCTTGTACTTAACCTCCTTGGACATGCTGGGATCTGACTCTAATTGTAGGTTTGGGGTGGTGAGGGGCGGTGGAATTGGAGCACAGTGGAAATCAGCACCTGCTTGCAAAGTAACCACATCAGAAAAGGTCACTGCTGGGCCTGCAGAGGAGGCAGGACTGGACCCACGGGAGGGGGCGGGGCCCCCTCAGCGTGGTCACTGGTTACTGTGGGATTCTGGAATATAGATCTGCCCCAAATCCGGCGTCCAACTCTGTCCCCATCAGAGCCCTGATGTTCAGGGGACCTGCAGAGGGAGGTCAGCTCAGCCTGTCTTGGGATTCTGAACCCTCTGGATCTTGCCGGGGCCGCCTTGGGAGCACATCCGCTCTGCAGGCTTGGGGGAGCAGAGACTCTTTCAGTGATGGAAGGAACACTCTTGCTCTCTGACCTGCCTTGAGCTCAGGATTCAACCCCCCGATCATGTCACTTAATTTCCTTAGACCCTGGTGCAGTTCCTCAGTGGCCCCTTCCACTGTCCTGAGCTGTGCCCGCCCCTCCCACCCCCATCACTGGTTGTGCAAGTAACCGTTTCACCACAGTGTACCGCGAGCTGTTATGTTCAGTCGCTCAGTTGTGTCCAACTCTTTGTGACCCCATGGACTGCAGCAAAACAGGCTTCCCTGTCCACCATCTCCCAGAGTTTGCTCAAATTCGTGTTGATTGAGCCAGTGGTACCATCCAACCATCTCTTCCTCTTCCACCCGCTTCTTCTCTTGCCTTCAATCTTTCCCAGCATCAGGGTCTTTTCCAATGAGTCAATTCTGCATCAGGTGGCCAAAGTATTGGGGCTTCGGCTTCAGCATCAGTCATTCTAATGAATATTCAGGGTTGATTTCCTTTAGGATGGACTGGTTTGATCTCTTTGCTGTCCAAGGGTCTCTCAAGGGTCTTCTCCAGCAGCACAGCTCAAAACATCAATTCTTTGGGGCTCAGTCTTCATGGTCCAAATCAAACACTTGTACACGACCACTGGGAAAACCATAGCTTTGACTATACAGACCTCTGTCAGCAAAGTGACGTCTTTGCTTTTTAATATGCTGTCTAGGTTTTTCATAGCTTTTCTTCCAAGGAGCAGGCATCTTTTAATTCCATGGCTACAGTCACTGTCTGCAGTGATTTTGGAGCTCAGGAAAATAAAATCTGTCACTGTTTCCATTTTTTCCCTTTTTATTTGCCATGAAGTGATGGGACCATGACCTTAGTTTTTTGAATGTTGAGTTTTAAGGCAACTTTTTCACTCTCCTCTTTCACCCTTATCAAAAGGCTCTTTAGTTCTTCACTTTCGGCCCTCAGAGTGGTATCATCTGCATATCTGAGGTTGTTGATGTTTCTCCAGTTACCATGGCTCCAAATGTCCCACGGTCCCATCACTGGATCCTCACAGCCTCCAACCTCGTAGGGTGTGTGGACCATTTGAGATGCCCCCCTGGTAGGCCTGTGGGCTGCAGCGGCTGTGGGTGCCCGCATGGTGGGAGGCAGGATTCGGCTCTGGAAAACAGGCAGGAGTCCAGGTTGACCCTGGGCTCTCCGAGGCTTCTGCAGGATGGAGGGGCATTATATCTGTGTCTCACTGATGGGAGCCTAGATTGCAACTAGCTCTGACAAGAAGGAAGCATCTGCGGGCCGGGTTAGGTGTCCGAGGAGGCCGGGCAGCCCCACCCAGACCCGCAGAAGAGGTGCCCAGCTGGTCCTGCCGCCCAGCCTGCCGCTGAACCTGAGCCCCGGAGCAGCTGCAGTTTTGAGAAGCCGCGCTTTGGGGCGGTCTGTTGCATATGCACCTTCCAGCGGGGTCGCTGCCCCTGCTGCGGCTGAGAGGCCAAGGAAACCAGAAGACGTGCCCCCGCATTCATCCTGGACCTCACTGAGGACAGTGGCCTGTGGCAGGACGTCCCACTGATCGCCCAGCTGGGCTCGCCAGCGGACAGATGGAAACAGCAGCAGCAGGTCCACCTGGCTTTTCCCCTAGCTCTCGCCCGGGGGGCAGTCGAAGGCGGTTCCAGGGAGCCCACTGGGGCTTCTTATCTCACCCACATCCTTGTCCAGCCATGACTGGACTGGACCCACACTGTCATTTCTACCAAGTTGACTTGTGGGTCACATTCAGTCCAAACTTCGGAGGAAAAAAAAGACATTATTTGCAGGACTCCCCAAGCCCCCCAAACTCAGAAGTCATAAAGAGAAAGACCGACAAGACTCAACTTCACGTGAATTTAAAACTTCTGATCATTTGCTGTAGGACTCAGGAAACTCAAGCAGGGACTCTGTCTCAGCCTAGAGGGGTGCGATGGGGCGGGAGATGGGAGGGAGGTTCAAAAGGGCGGGGATATATGTACACCTACGGCTGATTCAGGTTGAGGGTTGACAGAAACCAACAGAATTCTGTAAAGCAGTCATCCTTCAATAAAAAATTAATTAATAATTTAAAAAAACCTTCTGGTCAGCACAGGAAGCACAAACTGGGAAAGCGTTTCTGCAACACAGCTCTCTGACAGTGGACAGGTTGGACCACGTGGTTTAAAGGTCCTATTTGGCAGAAGAGACCACAGTTGCCTCCCAGCTGGGAAAAAAAAAACTTGCAACCTACATAATGGAAAAACTGACAGATATAACCATGTAAAAATTAAAAATATCTCAGCACAAAAGATACCATAGGCAAACATAGCTGGTCCAAGCTGCTCCTCCAGCTCAGGGTACAAATAAGGTCACATATTTCTGTTCTTCATGGCACCCTGCCCGCTCTCACGGCCGGGACGCTTTCCACGGCAGCTCAGCCCCCCATCACCTCAGGCATGTTTGCTTTTGACACCGGTGCACCCCTCCCCCAGCCACACGCTGCCCCCGGGACACCTGTGTGCAGGCGGTTCCCACGGCAGCACAGGGCTCCGGTTGCTGGGACGCCATTGACGCGCTCCCGCCCAGGGTGCTGCCCACATCAGAAGGACTGGCGTGCACTCTAGGATGATAACCAGAGGCTGGCTCCTGAGCAAGTGGCGTGGGGACTCTGTCCACATCCCTAACACGGAGAGGCTTTGGACGTTAAGAATGATAATAAAATGCGTGGCGAAGCTGAAAAGCCAGGAGGGACGGGGTGAGAGAGGATGGGTAGGTGTTGAACCCTTGGGGGCAGGGCAGTGGCGCCCAACGCGTCTGGGAGGTGCTGGGGCTGTGGTGCCCCCAAAGCCAACCCTGGGGGTCTGCCCCCCCGGGAGGGTCCGAGGGAAGGCAGAGGTGCGCGGGGTCCTCGCCGGCACAGCACGGCGTCCCTGGGGCGCTGCCTGCTCTGCAGCGGGTGCAGAAGGCGGGCCCTGGGGCTCGGGACACCCGGTCAGAGCTGCGATGGCCGGGGGCCCTTGGGCACTTCTGCAACCTCCCGGCGCCTCCAGGAGTAAAAACCGCATCCTCAGCCCAGCCCTCCCGTAAGCTGGGCCCCGGCCACAGGAGTTACTTCTGTGAAGTGGCGAGGCCTGGAGTTCTGTAAACAGAGAATGCCGTGAAGCATTTGTGAACAGTGGGCTCTGGGCCAGCCCTCACCTGGGGCAGGGAACTGAGTCCAGCCCGGAAAGATGCCCACGAGGTGCGGGGTCCAGGAGAGGCCAAGGCAGGTCTTCCCTCTGCGTCCACTCCCCGCCGGCATCTCTCGTCCACACTGAGGTGCTCTGGCACCCTGACCTCAACCGTGCTGGCCGCTGGGGGCTCCAGCTTCTGTCTCATCACCACGCAGAGCCACCTCGCCCGGTGGGAGCCTCCGACCAGGAGCCTGACATTGACCCACGTGGCTGACCCAGCACATGTCTTCCTTCTTGGAGACCACCCTGGGCAGCCGTCCCTGAGTGCTGGGCTCTGAGTCCAGTCCCGGGTCTGGGAGCTAGGGAGCTGGGGCCGTGAGGAGGTAGTGGCTCCCCGCCTTTGCAAAACACTGCCCAGGAGAGGTCCTCCCGAGGCAGTCACGACGGCAGGGGCACAGTCCACCAGCTCTTGCACTGCCAACCCCAGCTGGGAGCCCAGGGTCCTCAAGACCACCGTCCATGTGAGCATTCACCAGAACTCACTGAGCGTGCCCATGCGCCCAGCTGTGGCCGCGACCCCGACAGGGCACAGATGAAAGTCTCAAGGTGGGGAGGGCCTGGGCGGGGCTCAGGAGGGCTGAGCACCAGCTGATGTCATCTCACCCTGGAGTCCTAATGCGTGACCTCCCTGTGGGGTGTTGCCACTTGGGGTCCAGGGTCCTCGCTGGAGCGCCACACCCGACCACCTCTCTGGGGGGCAGGCTGACCCATGGCCCACTCTACATCACACTGACCCTCAGGCCACCAGACACCAGAGACCCTTTTGCCAGGCACGACACCCCAGAAGCCTAGAGATCACGTCTCAGGAGCTGAGGGCCAGGTGGTCTCTGGAGTCCATGCCTTTCAAGCAGAGGAAGAGACCAGTCCGCACAGGCGGGTAGCGGCTCTTCCTAGGACCAGCCGGCCGAGGAGGCCATCGGACGTATTTGAGCCCACCTCATGCCCCCACCCCATCCTCTGCGGCAATGCTGACCATCACAGAAACGCCCTGCGGAGGCGCTGAACTCAACCTGGTTTTGAACTAAGTCGACGCTGAGGCTTTGACAAGTGTTTTAGAGTTATTGTAGAAGCTGACCACATCATAAGCGAAGAAATACAACCCAAGCTCTCAGTGACCATGACTGACCACCCCTGCCCCCCCGCACCCCGGGAAGGTGTAAGCAGCAGCCCACCCTCGTTTCCAGCCCCACCGAAGGCATCCGGGCTCCCAGCAGCGCGGCTTGGCAAGTCTCCCCACCCCCAGCGGAGTCCACCTCCCACTTCCGGAATCCTGGGACTGGACCTCAGGGCTTCCTGGGTCCAACAGGAAGTGCCACATGCCAATTCCATGCCTGCGCCTCGAGACGCCTTGGGCAAGCGGGAAACTTATGCACTAGAGATTACAAACACTGCTGGAAGAGACGAAGGCTCTAAGTGAACAGATATCACTGTTCACAGACTGAATGACTCAGCACCTCTGTGATGGTCACCCTCCCTGAATTCATCCACGGACCCACGGCAACCCCTATCAAAATCCCAGCTGGCTTCTTAATTTTTACAGAAATCGGTACACTGATCTTAAAATTCACATGTAAATGTAAAGTCCCCGGAAGAGCCAAAATAGTCTAAAAAAGAACAAAGTTGGAGGACTCAACATTTCCTGACTTCGAATCTTACTCCAAAGCTGTCATAATCCAGACAGTACCACATGAGCAAAAGGACAGACATCCAAACCAATGGAGTAGGACTGAGAGTCCGAGAGTAATCCAGTACATTTATAGCCAATTGACTTTCAACAGGGATACCAACCCCAGAACGGGAGGAAGTACACATCACATCCTTGATCGAGGACTTGTATCCAAAATGTGTCTTATCACTCAAGTGCATGACAAATAATCCAAGTGTTAAGTGACCAAAAATTTTAGATAGTTGACCAAAGGACACAGACAGCCTCTAAGAACTTGAAGAAACACTTGGCAACATTAGTAAGTAGAGAAATGCAAATTTAAACCACAGTAAGACACGCGAGGATGGCTGTCATCAAAAGAACAGTCAGTTGTTGGAGAGACTGGCTGTTGTTTAGTCGCTAAGTCATGTCTAACTCTTTCACGACCCCATGAACTGCAGCTCTTCAGGATCTTCTGTCTGTGGCATCTCCCAGGCAAGAATACTGGAGTGGGTTGCCATTTCCTCCTCCAGGGAGAAACTGGAACCTTCGTATATTAGCAGTAGAAATGTGGCATAGTGCCACCATCTGGAAAGCAGCTCAGCTGTTTCTTAAAATGTTAAACATAAATTTACCATATGGCCCAGCAATTCCACTCCTCTCATCTACCCAAGAGAAATGAAAACGTATGCCCACACGGAAACTTGTGCATGAATATTCACAGCAGCTTCATTTCTACAGACCAGGATGGAAACAAACCAAATGCCTATCAATTGGCAAGTGGGAAACAAGACAGGGTGGGTCCTCACAGTGGAGGATCAGCTGGCGATAAGAAAGAACAAAGTTCTGACTCATGGTATAACACGACATTATGCCAAATGAGAGACGATCTCAGATGGTGTGATTCTATTAATGCGAAAGGTCCAGAAAAGGTAAATCTGAGGACACGGGAAGTACATCAGTGGTTGTCAGGGGCTGGGCCCCGAGGCTGCTTTGTGGGTGGTGAAGATGTTGTACAGTGAGACTGTGGTAGTCACAGCATAATTCCAAATTTATTTTTAAAAAATTGAATTGTGACACTTAAGCAAATTTTATAGTTTATAAAATATAACTCAATGAGACTGTTAAACAGAAAGAACAGAAGAGCAGCCTTGAGTACTGAGCTGTCTCTGTCTCCCCGCTTGGCTGCCGTCATCTGCTACTGACGAGACGTGTGGCTCAGACACTCCACTGCCCCCTCCCCAGCTGACAGGCAGCTCCCGGATGGGCCAGGAGACTGTCCTAGTCAACCTCAGGTGACCGGCCAGGTGCCACAGGCCACAGCAAGGTCAGCCCAGATCAGCAGAACCACCCAGCGGGGCCGTGCATTCATCAGCAATCACGGACTCTCCTGCTTTACCTCGAGCTGGGCAGTTTGTTACCCGGCACCAGCTGACTGATGCACACTCTGACGGTCGCAGCACTTGATGCCAGATGGCCGCAGATGATGACTGCTGATGCGGCAGAGATGTGGGCATCACACCCCGTCTTTGATGGAGCTCAGCTGGGGGAGGACAGACATGCTCCCTGCAGTGCTGAGTACATGGGGTGGGGTTGCCCTGTGATCTCTCCCTGGAGCCCCATGAGCACACAGCCCCAGTGCTCGGGTTTAGAGACAGGTTCAAACACATGTGCAGCCTCGGTCGGAGGCCCGCAGGGAGTCAGTTGGGCGGCTCCCCCCGCGGTGCGGCGGCTCAGCACACTGTGCACGTGTGACCATCAGCAGCCCTTCTTCAGAACCCCACCTGCCCCGGAATCCCGCGGCTTAACGTCTGGAAATTCTGGGTTGTTTTGGAGCCATGTCAGCTTCCTAGGGGTAGCGGGGTACGACTGAGACTGATAAGCAAATTGGTCAAAGCTGCAGGACACACGGTCCCTAAACAAAACTCAATCATACTTTCACACACTACCAAGAAACAATGGGAAATGGAAACTTAAAAACGCCATTTAGAAAAGTAACACTTAATGGGAAATAGGATAAATCTGTTTTATAAATAGGGTCAGAGCTGTAAAGAGAAAACTACGAAACGAGAACGGTATGCTAAAAAATGGTTACGATGGGGACTTCCCTGGTGGTCCAGTGGTTAAGACTCTGCACTCCCAAGGCAAGGGGCTCGGGTTTAATCCCTTGTTGGGGAACTAAGTTCCCGCAGGCTACACGGCATGGCCAAAAAAAAAGTAGTTATGATGGCAAATTACATGGTGTGTGTATTTTACCACAATTATTATAATAAAAGGACAGAAAACCAAAAAAGGTCTGCAATATTAACAGTGGCTGTTTTCTGGGGAGTGAGACTGTGAATGTTTCCCCTTCATTTCTGTGTTTTCCTATACTGTCCACATTTCCTCTGATCAACAAGGATCACTTATAATTAGGGAAAAGTAAAATTAATTTTTAAATAATAAAAAAAAGAAACTGCTAAGCACTGCCAAGAGAAATTCACCAAGAAATGAATCAATAGAAAGGTACACAGCCTGGAGGGTGAGAAGACCCAGTTTTGTTAAGATGCCAAGTCTCTCCAAATTCCAATCAGAATTCCAGCAGGAGTGGTAGGGCCATTCCTTAAATCAGTCAGATTTTAATCAGTTTCTTAAAAAGCTAAAATAGGGACTTCCCTGGTGGGACGGGGCAGACTCCGTGCTTCCAGTGCAGGGGGTCTGGGTTCAACCCCTGGTCAGGGAACTAGAGCCCATGTGCCACAACGAAGACCCAGGGCAGCCAAACAAATAGGTATTTTTTAGAAGCTAAAAACACACTTACCCTACACCCCAGCATTCTCACTATTGGGTGTTCAGCCCAGAGAAACCGAAGCTTCCGCTCACACCAGTGCCCCGTCACTAGTGTCTACAACAGCCTAGACGGGAAACAACGTCCTTTGATGGGTAAACAGCTAGACAGATCTCAGGCATCTATGTGGTGGGGCAGGGCTCAGTGACACGCAGGAACAGGCTACCCATCACCAGCTGGAAGGATTCAGAGGAGGCGATGCTGTGGGCACAGAGCCATCTCAAATGTTGCAGGTTGTGTAGTTCAACTGACACGCTTTTCCTGAAGCGGCAAGACTGCAGAGAGGTGGTGTGGATTAGTGGCTGTGGGCGGGGGAAGCGGCGGCTGGCAAGGGGCAGCAGGTCGGGGTCCTCCTGGTGCTGCTGATCCGAGCTGCATCTAAGCTGTGGCGGGGGGTGTGGGAATCTACGCCGTGGTCAAGTGTCAAGGACCGATACACAGACACAACAGGAGCGTCTGAAGAACCCGGGGTGGCCAAGGAGGGTCTGTGGGCTGGTTACCAGAGCCTGCTTTGACTGTGTGGTCACTAAGCCTTGTCCCACCCTTTGAAACCCCAGGGACTATATACCCCACAGGGGATTTTCCAGGCAAGAATACTGGAGTGGGTTGCCATTTCCTTCTCCAGGGATATCCTGCCTTTGATAATACACCATAATTACGGAAGGGAGGCTGGTGAGGAAAGCAGGGTGATGGGTGCACAGGAATCCTCTGCATTATTTTTTGCTACCTATTGTGACTGTATAATTACTTCAAAACAAAATCCCAGCAGGGTTTTGTTTTTTTTTTTTTTGGTGGAGGGGAGCGTGTAGACAGAGGAGCCTGGCTGGCTACTGTCCAACAGGGTCACAAAGAGTCAGACACCACTGAAGTGACTTAGCATGCACGCACGCACAGAAAGTGACAAACTCATTCTGAAATTCAGATGAAAATGCAAAGGACCCATAGTGGCCCAAAACAACTTCAAAAGAGAAAAGCAGAGTTGGGAACGCCCTCGCAGTCCAGTGGTTGGGACTTAGCGATGTCACTGCTGGGGCCCAAGTTCATTTCTTGTTGGGAGAACTAAGATCCTGCAAGGTGTGTGGTGCAGCCAAAGAGAAGAAAAGAAAAGGAAAACAGAGTGGCGGAACTAACACTACCTGATTTCAAAACTTATTATAAAACTACAGGAATCCAAAAACCGGAACTGATCCCAATGTCCACCAATGGGTGTAACTGGATTAACCAGCGGTGGACACCCACACAAAGGAAAACTACACAGTAATAAAAAGGAACAGCTACTGATTTACACAACAGGAACTGGCCTCAAAATAATTAAACTGAGGGAAAAAAGCCAACTCAGAAAAGACTACTTCCTGTTGTTGTTTAGTCGCTAATTCATGTCCTCTTCTTTGCAACCCCATGGACTACAGCACACCAGGCTTCCCTGACCTTCACTATCTCCCAAAGTTTGCTCAGATTCACACCCATCGAGTTGATGATGCCATCCAACCATCTCATCTCTGTCACCCTCTTCTCCTCCTGCCCTCAGTCTTTCCCAGCATCAACATCTTTTCCAATGAGTCAGTTCTTTGCTTCAGGTGGCCAATGAATGGGAGCTACAGTTTCAGCATCAGTCCTTCTAATGAATATCCAGGGCTGATTTCCTTTAGGACTGACTAGTTTGATCTCCTTGCTGTTGAATGGACCCTCAAGAGTCTTCTCCAGCACCATGGTTCAAAAGTATCAATTCTTTGATGCTCAGCCTTGTTTATGGTCCAACACTCACATCTGTACATGACTACTGGAAAAACCATCGCTTTGACTATACGGATCCATTGTCAGCAAAGCAATGTCTCTATTTTTAAATATGCTGTCTAATTTTGTCATAGCTTTCCTTTCTAGGAGCAAGCATCTGTTGATTTCATAGCTGCAGGAGCTGTCCATAGTGATTTTGGAGCCCAAGAAAATAAAATCTGTCACTGCTTCCACTTTTTCCCCTTCTGTTTATCATGAAGCCATGGGCCTGGATGACAGGATTTTAGTTTTCTGAATGTTGAGTTTCAAATTAGCTTTTCCACTCTCCTCTTTCACCCTCATCAAGAGGCCCTTTAGTTCCTCTTTGCTTTCTGTCATTACAATGATATCATCTGCATATCTGAGGTTGTTGATACTTCTCCCAACAGTCTTAACTCCAGCTTGTGATTCATCCAGCCCGGCATTTCTCATGATGATCTCTGCATCCCCAGATGAACATCTTTCCCACCCTGGCCCAGCTGCTTCATTCTTTCTGAAGCTTTTAGTAACTTCCCTCTGCTCTTCCCCAGTAGCGTATTGGACACCTTCCAACCTGGGGCACCCATCTTCTGGCATCATATCTTTTTGCTTTTTCATACTGTCCGTGGGGTTTTCCAGGCAAAAATACTGGAGTGGCTTACCATTCCCTTCTCCAGTGGACCACGTTTTGTCAGAACTCTTCAGTATGACCCATCCGCCTTGGGTGGCCCTGCATAGCATGGCTCTTAGCTTCATTGAGTTAGATGAGCCCCTTCACCACGACAAGGTTGTGATCCATGAAGGAGGTACATCCTGTATGATTCCATTTATATGAAATTCCGGGCAATGCAAACTAACCCATCATGAAAGAAAGCTGATGAGAGGTTGCCTGGGGTTGGGGGGTCACAGAGGGGCATGGGGACACTTTGGAGATGACAGCTATGTTCACTGTCTTGATCGTTGCCATGGTTTTGCAGGTGCACACTCACATGAGAACTTATCAAGTGTGTGTTTTAAGTGTGCGCCACTTACTGTATGTCAAGTACACTTCAGCAGAGCTGTCGTTAACAGTGAGGAATGTGTGGCGGTAACTGCAGATTTTTTCCACAGTTGGGCACAGATTCTGTTTCTTGAGAGGAGCCATGGTTCCTACAGCAGGAATGTGCAGGTGGAAAGCATCCAGGGAGTTTGTGTACCTGAGCTCTAAGGTCACTGTCATCCTGTTTTCAACACAGCTGCATCTGGGCCCCATCCCCATTTGGGGAATGTCCGTGAGGTCCTACTATTCACACAAGATACACATAGATGGTATGTGGGTATCATGACATACCCACGTATACCCATGTAAATCATGACACAGCCACAATTTCTTTTAAAAGAACACAGATCATCCGACATCAATAATCATTAAAGATTTACAAATCAAACCCACCTTGAGACACCATATCACACCATTAGGATGGCTACTATATCTAAAAAACATAAAATATTGAGTGTTGGTGAGGACGCAGAGAAATTGGAATCTCCCTGCAGTGTTGGTAGGAATGTAAAATGGTGCAGTTGCCATGGAGAACAGCACGATGCTTCCTCCAAAAAATAAAAAATAGAACTACCATATGATCTAGCAATCCCAGCATGGGTATTTATCCAAAAGAACTGAAAGTAGGATCCCAGAAGGAGACCTGCACCCTTGTTGAGCACAGCTGAGAGCTGGATGCAACCTGGCTCCAAGACGAAGGGGTGGACAAGATGTGGTCCATCCAGACAAGGAAATGTCGCTCAGAACTAGAAAGGAAGGGAGTTCTGATGCCGGGCCTCAAGGTCATCACACTGAGTGAAATAAATCAGTCACAAAAAGAGAAATACTGCTGACTCCACTGATAAGAAGAACCTAAAGTAGTCCGATTCCTAGGATTTGCAGCCAGAGGCTTCAGGGCAGAGAAAATGCACAGCTCTTGTTTAACGGGGATGGAGGCTCAGCTCTGCGAGGTGAGGAAGCTCTGGGGTGGTATTTCACGACACTGTGAACGTGCTTTAATTAACATTACTGAACTGTGTGCTCAAAGACGGCTAGGACGGAAGCTTTACCTTCTGTGGGTTTTGCCACAATTGAAAACTGTAAATACACCGTGATGGTCACTGTAGTGTGAACGTGCCAAGGCCTCTGAGCTGCACCCTGTAAACGGCTGAGGCGGCCAAGTGTTTTATGTCTATTTTACCACAGGCTCCTAAAATGGAATTTACAAAGGGACTGGGCCTCCTGCTGGGCCAGCGGTTAAGAATCTGCCTGCTGATGCAGGGGACACAGCTCCAGTCTCTGGTCTGGGAAGACTCCACAGCGAAGCCTGTGAACCACAGCGACTGAAGCCAGCGCACCCCAGAGCTTGTGCTCTGTAACTAGAGAAGCTCACTGCGACCGGGAGTAGCCGCTGCTCACCACAGCTAGAGAAAGCCAGAACGCAGCAGCAAAGACCCAGGGCAGCCAAAAACAATAAAAGAAATTAAATTAATTTTCTTTAAAAAAGCGGAATGATGGCTAATTCATTTCAATGTATGACAAAACCCACTGCAATGATGTAAAGTAATTAGCCTCCAACTAATAAAAATAAATGGAAAAAAAAAAAGCGGAATGAGAGGTGACAAGATGGCAGAGGGGTGAGTGGACATGGAGTCCATCTCTCTCCACAGATGCATCAGGAATACATCTTCAGACACAGAAGATCTCACAGAACACCAGCTGAGAGCGGGCAGGAGTCTTTGATGCCCGGAAAGGAATACATAGACCCATGCAAAACTCTGACTTCCCTGGTGGTGCAGTGGATAAGGATCTGCCTGCCAAACCAGGTCCAGGAGGAGTCCATGTGCCACGGAGCAACTAAAGCCCAAGAGCCGCAATTACTGAGGCCCGCACGTCCAGAGCCGGTGCTCCCCAACCAGAGGAGACACTGCAAGGAGAAGCCCTCGCACCGCCCTGGAGAGTACCCTCCGCTCACCACAACCAGAAAAAGACCGTCACGTGCAGCAAGAAAGACCCGGCGCAACCAAAAACTTATCCATTAATTAAATTTTAAAAAGAAATGAAAGAAAGAGCACAGATGACAGGTTCCACGACTCCTTTCGCTGATCCTGCCTTCCCAGCTCAACCGTCCATGGGCCTGTGGACAGCGTTCCGGGCGCCCTTTGTAAAGCCCGCCGCGTCCTGTCTCCTGGGCTGCCGGAGCGTAGGTGACCCTCCCCGACAGATGGCACGGTTTGGGATCTGCTTACTGGCCACTGTTGGCCAGGCGGCCACGACCAGCCCAGCCTTAGGACCCTAACGCGCGGTGCTCCCAGGCGGAGGCAGAGGGTGGAGCACTGGGCAAGCGCCCGCTGTGCTGTCCGGCGCTGCGCTGCGCGCAGCGGCGCCCCCTCCCGCCCGCGGTCCCCGCCCCCACCCCACCGCAGCTTCCCCCCACCAACAAGGTCAAGGAGTTGCTTCACGCTGACCTTAACTGGAGCTTCCCGAGTGGCCGTGAAACTTGACGGGCTTTTCTGTGTGAGTTTTCTAAGCGCTCCTGAGAAGCCCTCGGCCACACGCGGGTGACTCAGGGCCCACTCCCGGCTCAGGCCCCACTCGGCTACATCCACTGAGCCCGTCCGCGGGAGCCCTCCCATCTCCGCGGCTCCAGGGAGTAGGGCACAGAACCACCCACCAGCTGTCTTTTTCCTTCCTTGATGCTTGATTGGCTCTTGGGAGAATGCTCTCCTGGAATGCGTCCCTTAGTTTTCTGTTGGGGACAGTTTTCCCCTTGTCAGTTTGTAGAAGCTCTCTGAATAGTTGTCAACGCAGTAGTTGTCCTCATGAGTGTTGTTATGAAGAGGTGGAGCCCGTGTGCGAACACCGCTTACCGCACGAGCCGGCAGACCAGCGGGTCACGTGGTTCTCTGGGTCTTGGCCTCCAACTGTAGACTCCTCGGTGAGCGCGTGTGCGCGGCGGACACACACCCCGGGTCCCGGGTCCTGGGTCCCGGGTCCTAACCCCGGCGCTGCGGCTGTGCTGGCAGGTCCCGAGCCTCTGTCCGCCCAGCCCTGCCCTCCCTGTCGTCTTCCTCCTGCTGCGAGGCCGCTGGCCTTCACGCCTTACTCCCCTGTCCCGGGGCACGTTTGCTCCTCGTGGGTCGGGACTCACCTGTGTCCTGTTCAGACACAACGACTCTCCAGCTGTGGGCGGACAGGCGGCCGAACGCCTGTGCCCGAGCTGCTTCCCACCGCCCCACACTCCACGGAGGAGCCTGTGGGGGAGAATTACCCCCACCGGTCAGGACCGGGGTGGACACGCCCACTGCCCCTCCCCTCCCCTCCAGGATGAGCGGACACGCCCACTGCCCCTCCCCTCCAGGATGAGCGGACACGCCCACTGTCCCTCCCCTCCCCTCCAGGATGAGCGGACACGCCCACTGCCCCTCCCCTCCAGGATGAGCGGACACGCCCACTGCCCCTCCCCTCCCCTCCAGGATGAGGGGTGGAGGTGCTCACTGACCCTCTCCCCGTGAGGACTTCCGCGAGGGCTTACCCTCTGAACTCTGGCCCGAGCTTCCCTTCACGACACGTTCCCCTTCCTCACTCTGCAGTACTGCCCCCTCCCACATGTCCTGTCCGCCCTCCGGCCGCTGCGCTGCTCCTACTTGTGCCCTGGACACCACGGAGGGCAGTGGCCAGGCCGCAGGGTCCCTCGAGCGCCCCACGCTCCAGGACACTCATCAAGCCCCGCCCCGGTCCCCACCTCCGGGGTCCACACAGGACACGTGGAGTCCTGCAGCTGGGCAGGCCTCCAGCCAGGGGGAGGGGCGGGCTCCCTCCTCCAGGCCCCCCATCTCCCCTCGTGAGGTCCAGGGACGCCCCCTGCCCCTCTCCCCACGGGATGGGGAGGAGAGAAGCCTCCTGCCCCCCAGGACTCCCTGCAGGAAGGCAGGTGTCTCTTCAGCCCCCGTCCCCTCTACCCCCAACCCCCAGGTTACATCTGCACCCCTGGCCTCGGCTGCGGGAGGGAGGGGCCGGTCCAGCCTGGCTCTGGGTGGGGGCTGGGAGACCTCTGCTCTGGCTCCGGACCCAGCTGGGCGGGGGCCCCACCCCGTTCCCTGGCAGCCTCTCCCCGCTCTACCCAGTGACAGGTGCAGGAGGGAGACAGCCGTCCAGCGTCCAGCGTCCTGCGCAGCTGCTGCTCTGGGGCTGGCCTGGCTCTCTGTCCTGGGACCCTCTTCTCTGCTGCGTGGGGAGGGAGGCGCTCTCAGCGCCCCGGACCCCAGGTCTCTCTCTCGCCGGCTCCCTCGGGGTCCCCATGCCGGCGCCCTCCCTCAGAAGCCTGCAGCAAGCTTGGAGTTTGGGGCCAGCCCGGACCTCTGGGCCCCGTGCGCGTGTCAGGGAGGGGCAGGGGGCCAGCTGGATGTACTTTTAAACATGTCCCAAGTCCTCCCCCCTAGGGTGTGGGCTTGAAGCCCAGGTGGAGCTGGTGCAGTGACGGTGGGTCAGTCATCAAAACCTCGCAGCTTCTGTCCTGCGGTTCCCGGTCCCTGGGCATTGGGGAAGCCACCCACCCCCTGGTGAGGACACTGCAGGGCCCCTGGGGGAGGCCCAGGCCCTACCAAGGGTCTCATGAGGGAGCTTGAAGGCAGACCCCCCTCCCCAGTCCAGCCCAGTCTTCAGAGGACAAGCTCTGGCCAAAACTGTGACCGCAGCCTCTGGAGACCCTGGGCCAGAACCATCCTGTGAAGACCCTCCCAGACCCCAGACCCACAGAAGCTGTGAGATGATAAAGGCTTGTCATTTTAAGCCCTTTGGGGTGACTATGTCTGGGGTGACTTGTTACACAACAGCAGATAAGCAGTCCTAGAACAGACAGACCCGGGTGGTATTGCAGGTTTGGGTCCCAACCACCCCAATAGAGTAAATATTGCAAGAGAGTCACGTGAACTTTTTTTGTTTCCCGGGGCATATGAAAGTCATGTTCACACTCTACTGTAGTCTGTGAAGGGTGCAATAGCGTGATGTCTAAAGTCAACATACAGACCTTAATTTTAAAATCATGCTGTTGGAAGAATAGCAGTGATGGGATTCCTCGACAAAGGCTTGCCACAAACCTTCAATCTGCAAAAAATGCAGCGTCGCAGAGTGCAGTGAAGCAAGGGTTTGTACACAGACAGGAAGCCCAGGGCTGCGCACGAGGGGACTGCGAGAGGGCGTGCAGGGAAGACCCAGCACCCAGTCTTGGGGGTCACCGCACACGAGACCTCTCTGCCCCAGGGGCTCGCTCGGTGCTCAGGTCTCACTGAGTACTCCTCATTGCGGGGCTTGGCGGGGCCGGAAGGTGGAGACCCAGAGCGACAGCACACTCGTGCACGTCACCTGCCCGGGCACCAGTGCCGCCCGCCCACCCCACTTTGTGGATTTGGCTCGTCTCCCTGGGTCCTTGCAAGCCTCCATCTCTTCCACAAGCTGGAGAACTTTCTGGGGGCTGGCCAGGCAGCGCAGGGACCCGGGCTCCCCGCTGCGAGCTGGGGGTCCCTCGCTTGGTGGCTGCCTCTCTGCCTCCTCCTTTCTCTCTGTTTGGAGCTCCTGTTACCTCCCCTGAATCTCTACCCAAGCATCTCGTCTTCTCCCCTGTGACCTTCAAGACTGTCCTGCAGGTCTCCATGCTGACCGCCTGCGTTCGACGGGACTTCGAGTCCGAGGTCGAGAGTCGTCTTGAGCCAGCACTGACCTGCAATGCGCTGCCCCGCCCCGCCCGCCCCTCTCTGATCGCCGGCTCTGTGGCCTGTCTCCCTGCAGCAGGTGCTGCGGCGTCCTGACCGGGCCTCCCTCTGGATACCCAGCGCCCAGCGTCCCCCAGGGCGACTCTAACCATGAAGAGGGCAACACTTGGGGGCTCAGGAGGCAGAAGGGCCGCCTCTTGGGGAGCCGTGTGTGGGAAACGCTGTCTGCACGGGACCCGCGGCTCAGTGAGCGGTCCCGCCCATGTGAGGGGACATCCGCCCCACCCACCCCGTGCCCACCCGCACCCAGAATCCGTCACCAGCCCCATCCTAGCCGACGCTCGGGCTCAGGCACCAGCCTGGCCTCGCTGCTGGCGCTGGGTCTGGCCAAAAGTCCAGGGTTCCAGTGGGTCCTCCCTGGCCGGATGGCGGGCTTCCGGAATCTCCCAGGGCTGGGGGCGGGGGTGGGGGGGCACAGACTCCCTCTTTCCTAGTGGCCTCCAGGCCCCTGCTCGCTGGGAGCCCTCATGGGCCCTGGGCAGCCCAGCTCCTTGAAGGCCTGGGTCTGGGCTCTGATGAGGCAGGGCCAGAGGGCTGGGCCCCAGAGAGCTGGAGTCGGCCGCGCAAGGCCAAGGCCACAGGCCCACAGCCCGGCCCACAGGGGTTAACGGGCCCGGCCACCCAGGGGATAGATGTGGAATCTCTTCCCCGCGGCCTGGTTTCTTCGGAGACTCGGCAGGCAGAGCTGTCGCCAAGCAGAGCCAGTCCCTGGGGCCCGGCACCGAGGAAGCAGCAGGTAGCCCCAGGGGGCAGCTGTGGGAGGCCCGGATCCCGGCCCCGGAGCCTCTCTGCACCCGCGGCGGGCAGGCTGCCGGGACAGGGGTCAGCACCGATGGGGCCCTGCTCCCGGCTCTGACCCTCTGGGGATGAGGAGGTGGGGGAGGCCCGTCTGAGTCCAGCCGGAAAGAGGGGCTGCTCCAGCCGAGTTGCGGACCTCCAGAGACAGCCACTGTGGGCTGGCCACTCTTCACCTGCTGGACACAGGGCTCCCTGGGTGCCTGGCCTATGGAGAGAGTGCCCGCTGCCCAGGATGGGCCAGACCCCTCGCGTCCGCCAGCACAGCCCCACCAGGCACCTGCTTGCGGCCTCAGGCCCCCACCCAGGCCTGCCCCTCCTCCGGCTGGCACCTCGATGCCTACCTCCACCCCCCACCATCCTCTCTCAGCTGCGCAGCAGCAGGGACCTGGCCAGACCCGCAGCCTCTGCAGATCCCACCTGGAGCCAGTCCAAAGGTGCCGCCCGCTGTCTTCTCAGGGAGACCCCTGCCTCCGGGCCCACACCCTGAGCCCTGTGCTGCTTCCAAGCCCACGGCCCTGCAGGCCCCGGGAGGCCCAGATCCTGTTTGCTGAAGAGGCTCCCCAGGCGCCGTCAGGCTGGGCGGCGAGCAGGCGTTGAGGGCGCTAGGAGCGGCCACAGCCTCGTGAGAGAGGAGGCTCATGCAAGGCCGCTGCAGGGCCGGGGTGCCCGGGCTGCTCCTGGAGGCCACGTCCACTCCCCAGCGGCCGCGGCGTGACGCTGCTCCACGCCCAGGCTGGCGAAGGCGCCGCAGGGGCCCAGCCGGTCTTGGGAGACACGGCGCCCAGCTGCGGCCCCCGTGAGCCTTCCTTCGTCTGAGCTTCCTCACCGCGTGGCTGACCCCTGACGGCCCACCTCCACACCCAGGAGAGGACTGGGTGCTGGCGGAGGCAAGTGGAGGGGCCTGGCGAAGCGGAGGATGGGGCCGGCAGGGCACGGGCCTCCCTGGGGGCAGGGGCCGTGCCGTCCGGGCTGCCGTTCACAGCCCGACTGGGATCGGCGGAGGCCACGCTGCGGGCGAGAATGAGCCCCACCGTCCGGGAGGGGGTGCCCGTGCAGCCGGCGGTCTG